AGAGTTTTATTTTCAACTGACCCAAATACCCAATTACTTACGTTATTAATGTTGATTCCCGTTTGATGTTTTCAGTATGTGTTTTTTAATGTTTGGTTTTTACGCTTTTCGCCCAAATATTTTCGATTGGTTGAAACTAATTTTTGGGAGCACAGCTAATCATAACTTTCGAAGTACAAATAAACATCTGTTTAATGTAAATTTTGTACAGGTACAATATAACTAACCACCACAGTACCCTGACGGTAGAATGGTGAGTCACTTTTTTTTACATTTGAATAAAGATACGAGGTTATCGGCAAAATTTCCCGGCCTGACATAGATGCAGCTCCAGTTTCACGATAAAACTTTGTCTTCTTTTAAATATATATTTTAATAGGCTGCGAAATAAAACTGAAGTCTTGCGTCAAACGGTTTTTTATTGACCGCATTTTAAACAAGACGTGCCCGACAAAATATCGCAAATAACGCAAAGCGAGTATGGAGCAATCATAAAGATTTTGACAAAAGAATGTTTAGCACCTAAAATTATTAAAGAAAGGCTGGATGGTGTGTACGGCCGAAGTTCTCCTTCGTATTCTGTAGTGAAAGAATGGGCAAGACGTTTTCGAATGGGGCAGGAGTCCCTTGAAGATAATTCAAGAGCTGGTCGATCAGTGATCGACGTTTAAAGGTCAAGGAAATCTCAGAAATTACTAAGCTTTCTGATACAAGTGTTCGTGGAATCCTGATGATCATTTAGGTATGCATAAGGTTAGTGCAAGATGGGTTCCTAAAAACCTTTCGGCTATTTAAAAACAACGCCGTGTCGAGTGTGCGCGGTCTTTTTTGGAACTCTGTGGGTTGGAATCGAAGCCTGTGATAGAAACTATTGTGACGGGAGATGAAACTATGGTTCTTTATTATGACCCCCTATCGAAAAAAGAATCAATGGAGTGGCGTCGTAAAGGTGAAGCACCTCCAAGAAAATTCAGAATCTGCTATTCAACAAAAAAGGTAATGGCCATGATCTTTTGGGATTCTGAAGGAATTCTTTTGATAGATTTTAAAGAAACTAATACCACTGTTTATTACATAAATTTCGAAACTGCATACGTGTAAAACCTCGAGGAAAACTGACCAGAGGCGTGCGTCTTTTGCACGATAATGCACCTGTTCATACTGTTCGTGTTACACAAGCTACCATTTTAGAGTGTGGGTTCCAACAGATAAATCATCCTCCCAATAGTCCAGATATTGCCCCCAGTGACTATTATTTGTTTGGATATTTGAAAAAGGATTTAGTCGATGGCGGTTTAACGACGAACTTGAGTTAAAAGAGGCTGTTTTAGCTCATTTTGCAGACAAACCAAAAGAATATTTTTTTAAAGGGATTGAGTTGTTAATAAAGAGATGTAATAAGTGTATTGAAGTTAAGGGGATTATATTGAAAAATAATAAAAAATTGTTACTCTACTTTGTTTTTTTCATATTCAGGTCGGGAAATTTTGGCACTGCCCTCGTATGTTGACACCCGTCACCACCATCGCGGGCCTTTCTTCTATTTAATGCGGTGGTTCATCGCACCTGATTCTTGGTGCACAAAACATATGTGCATTTTATTTATTTTTTAGGTATACTGTTCCTCCCTGTTGGCTGCAGAGGTGAAAGAATAGAATAATGCAGCTTATAGATTATAAGAAAAATAAGAAAGCTCAAAATGAGTGAGACAACACCTGCGGGGAATTAAACCATTCAGAATAACATATATAACTAAGACTAAACAGCGGAATGGCATGATTATCAAACATACAGAAAACTGAATTTAACGAATGAGTTAAGTTTGGAATGGAAGAGCTGTAGAAGATAGTAAACCAAAATAATCCTAACGTTGCATTTTTTCCATCGGAATTTTTATCAAAATTGTTACTTTTTTTATATAAAATTTCAAATTGCCATCCCTGTAAAAGTTCTTTAATATGTCGATTTAATGTTATAAAATAATCTTTAGACGCAATGACAATTAGGAATTTGATATCTCTGCTTTTAAAAGTTTCTTTTCAGTTGAAGTTTAGATTGTCCTTCCCCCTTAATATCGCACTGTTTTTTATAAGGAAGCTTACTACTCTTCCGCAAGCAAACTTAATGGTCCGCTTTTATTTTCCGTTATGTCGCTAGGGTTTCATTTTCGAATCTTACTTATTTTTACTGCAAGGCATTGTTTAATAGCGTTAAGATTCTTTATTGCGAGCTTTATGTTTATTGGTACTTGTTTTTTCGTATTCAATTTACTTTATGGCACCATAAAACGCCTCCCGGCCATCGACTACGAGTTAATAAAATACGCCTTAATTTTACGATGGCTTGTAGGACAACTAACGAATACAAAATAACAGTTTACAATATCCTTGGTGAACTTTCTGGATCAATAGTTTCTTACAACAAGAATTATAATATTTTGCAACAAGTGCGGTAAGCGACATTTTACTCACCAGTTTATTTGACATTAGCGGAGCGAGTGTTTAAAAAACGAGTGACTTAAAAATTATACCTTTTCCAAGACAACACGAATACATTCACTGACATGACCGTCAAAATTGACAAACGTATCCCAGGTATCACTTCGGACATTTCCAGGATATTACCGCACGGGTTTGGGAGCAATCGGATGTTTTCGGATATTTCACCGCACGGCTTGAATTTTGACGTTTGTCAATTCTAACGGTCATTTCAGTGAATGTGTTGTGTTGTTTTGCAAAAATGTCCCCAAAAATTAACGGTTGTAGAAAAAGTATAGTATGCAAGGCGTTTGGTAAAATTTTTAAGTCACTCGCTCCGCTGCGCTCTGCTCGTGCCAATTAAACTCGTGACTCAAATGCCGTTTACCGCACTTGTTGTATCATATACTATTTTCTACTCAAAATAAATAAGAACTAAAACTTTAGATTTTCACGAAATTATATATTTGGACATGACAATTGTTTCGACATCACCGTGTCTTTATCAAATCACATTTGATAAAGGCACGGTGTTGTCGAAACAATTGTCATGTCAAACTTATAATTTCGTGAAAATCTGAACCTTTAGTTCTTATTTATTTTGATAAATGGATTTTCATCAAGTAAAAGCCTCCTCAGTTCAATATTTTCTACTCTACTTTTTCTACTTCACTTTACCATGTGAGTTTCTTGTGACATGGATTCGAACCCTTCGGGGATATTAGCGCACGGGTTTAGGAGCAATAAAAAAGCAGAAAATAACGGTCGTAGATAAAGTACAGTATGCAGCACGTTTGGTAACCTTTTTAAGTCACTCGTTTATTAAACACTCGCTCCGCTCGTGCCAAATAGACTCGTGATTCAAATGCCGTTTACCACACTTATTGCATAATAATAGTTACAATGTTACTACAAAATTACGCGAAATTTAACACCTGCACAATATTTTAGAATTTGAGCCTGAAAATTAGCGCAAAGAATTTGTTTGCATAAAGTTGATTTAATATAGGTAAGTTTAACTTGTATCCAGTTAATATTTTAACAAGGAAAACCACTTTTTTTCTATACTTATAATACTAACTTCCTAATGACGAAATAGATACTGATCCGGTTTACAGCTTATTGATTGGAAATTCAGAAAAATTCCACATGCGTATCAAGGAAATTCCAGAAAAATGAAATGTTCACCCAAAAACTTAAATATTATTCTTATTCTTATTGACATTCACCATATCTTATTCTTTTTTGTGTTTAGATGTATGCTGTTTTCCATTGGTTTGGCATGATCATAGGTGTTAAGATCTGATAAAATGGTGATGAAAAAGTGTCTAGTTACTGTTTACAAATCTTCTGGATTCCTTCTACGTCGGTTGTTTATAAGTCAAACATGCTGACGTTTCTTCTTCAGAGTTTAAGTGAAGTATAGTTGAAACTAAATGCGTATTCGTGGTTCTTTTTTGGACCATATAATCGTCAGAGCGTTAAGAGAAAAAGGTATAGTCGGCCGACCAGATTGTACTTGCTTTGTCATAGGTGGTTCTACACAAACGTTGCCGTTCTTTGAATTATAAAATCTGAGACGGAGAAAATATAAATCTACTGAGATACCTTAATGTGATGAGTATTTAGGGGGTGAATTATAATCAGATTGATAATATACGATTGAGGATTAGAAAAGTTGCAATTATTTGTATTATTATGTATCATTTATAGCGTGTGGATATCGAGTTTTAAATTACAAAAATGTTCGGTATTATTATCCATTCCAATGTTTTTGCGTCCGTAATCCAATATTTGTTTATGTTGGTTGCCGGTTTTTGTATATTTCGAATTTGGGGCGAATATAAATAATATATAATATAAAATATAAATCATCTTTGGGATACATTACAACATTTGTTAGCTTCGAAAGACATACTACTCCATCTGGGACTGGTACTCTTTTGAAACAATTGGTAATTGGTTCTAAATCTACTTATAGAAAATTATCGTTACATTTACCGGACTGACTTATTACGCTAGTTTGAGGTCCTTTTCGTTCTTTAATTAAAATTACGTTATCCTAAATTCTAAAGCTTGAGGAAAAACGCAATCCAAAGTGCCCAAATCTTTTCCGTCAAATTCATACGTTTTAAGGGTTCTTTTTCAAAGTTCCCGAAATAGGTCAAACCGGTCGTCTGCTTCGTATTTAATTCCAATTATTTCGTGGCGCTGAAATTAATTGCATGGCTTGTTTTGAGGGACGAAAAGAATGAAGGATCCGTGTGCGTTGTATATAATTGGAAATTCTGTAAATGCCCGCAAATTCGTTTAAGCTTTGTTGGAAAGTGTTTTACACGCGTTCGTTCTTGTTGTCCATTTTCTTTTAATTTCTCATTTTTGTTCTTCTCACTTTCGATATCATTCTAAAAAGTACAAATATGTGTAATAAGAAAAATGTTAACTACTAAACAAACTAGTGTTAGTGTTCTATTTTTAAAAGGTTTAATGCAATGCGTCTTAAATATTTTTACTGTATTTCAGAAAACTCGAAGATATGTAAGTATACGTTCCGCAGATGACCTTATGGATGTGTCCATTTTTATTATCTTGATTGTGAAGGTATTTTTGACCCCTAATTCCTATAGACCACATTTTTGAAGTAATTCGCTTCTACGGCATGTTACCCTCGCTATCGCCATTTTAGATGTGTGTCCCCAGTATATTTAGCAGTATTTAATTTTTTAGGTATTCCTTTCGTGTACATGTTCAAGTTAATGTGTGAGTTCTTAATATAGCCGTTAAAGGACAGTTTTCAATTAGCGTGTCATTTTCAATCTAAGCTTCATATACAATGCAAATTAACTGGCATTCGCAATTAAAATAATTCAAATTTTTATTATGTTTTTCTCTCAATTTCGGAAGTTCTATGAAGTGATTATACCTAGGGAATGCAAAAGTAAAAAAGTTAACTACTTATTTATTTTTGTTTTTCATGTTTATTTTAATCTATACAAGTACTAATTTTAACAAATGAACAACCACCCTCCAAAATTATTTGTGATTATGGAAAGACAACAGTTGTAAATATTTGTAATATGCATATTAAAATAATATTGGATAAGTCTAGTGCCAACTAGTATAGAAGATGATTTTTGAGAAGAATTGCCCATAGGTTTTGGTTATCTGCGATAAATATAAAAATATTTCCTTTTGGTGATTGGATTGGAATTCGAATCAAAAAATGCTACAGTGAACGAAATTTTATTCACGGATGGACAAAGATGAGGACATTGGTATTTGGTATGGTTTTTTTACCAACAAGCCATCGGATATTACATTAAAAATATACTAAACAAGTTATTCATAGAAAGTTGAAAAACCGGCAGTCAATGTAAACAAAAACTTAACAACGCCCCACAGATTATTACAAATGAAAATCCACTCGACTCTCCAATGTTTGGATTTTTTAATATAGGGGGGATAAAAGTGTTTCCGCCAATGTTACTGTTTATTCCCTTAAATTAACAGCGAAAAATCGTTTAACAAAACCTTTCACATCAACGATCTCTGAAACGGCAAGGCAACCTGGTCAATTTGACATTGGGTTAATTAAGGATTGGAAAAAGGAAATTGTCATTATTGGCTTTTTTGCTACTGAAAAAGAATGCACTATTAATTGAAAAATTGAACAAAAGAATTTTAGGATATTTCCCTTTCTGTCTGCTTATGAGTTTTTGTAATACACTTTGAACCACACACCTAACTTTTTACAATTTTTAAAATTTCGAGTAGCAACGCTTACTAAAATGATACGTGTGAATGTTGATTTATTCCTAAATATTTCGGTTTCGCTGAAAGTAATTGTGGTACAAATAACTGGCGAGACTGTTTCGACTAAGGGCATTGACAAATTTTATTTTGGTGTGTTGTGCATTCTTAGGTATATTTACTGTGTGCTTTTAACGCAACTAATATAATTGCACATGCTGTTTTTGTCTACAATAATGTCAGGTTTGTTAAGGCTTTTCTGAACCATCAGTACACCTTGATACAAGTGAAGTTTCAGGTCGATACATTCAAGGATTAGTGCAGTTTCTTGTATTTGACAGGCATATCTACACTTTTCCTTTCTTGGTAGTTTGGGGTGTATTCCAGCTTTTATCAGATTTTTTGTCTTTGACTTTGCTTTTAACGCTTTCTTCATTTCTTTTTGATCAATTCTGCGTGCTTGCTTAATGCCGAGGTCTTTGTATGTTGTTCCTGCATGTAATTAATATTTTTGTCATGGGAAGTTTCATATCCTCCAGATGTTGAGAGCGTGCATCTTGATAAAAACAAATTTACAAGTTTTAAGAATTCTTCAAGGACTGTTCGTGTAGCTGTTGTTTATTTTAGGTCGTCGCTGTTCAATAAACGACTTTAAATACTTCCTTTGTTCTTTTATAATGGATTTACTGCAGAACTGGAGGGAATTGAAAAGAATAATAGCAATTAGAAGTCCTTAGTAGGTTTGAAATAATCTCAGAGAGGGATAGAGAGAGAAGGACAGAGAAAGAGAGAGAGTGAGAGAGTGAGTGGGGAGGGGGTTGAGTGCGAGAGGGCGGGCGGAGAAGTGGGGGAGGGAGAGAGAGAGAGTTAGTTTGTTCTGTGCTGGACAGCATGCCCCTAATCACTCCCCTCTCCTCTTGGAATATAACATTCCACTGCGTATAGGGCTTAGAGTCTGCTTATCCATGGATCATCAATAGGAGTCATTCTTCAGTAGAAGGTAAGTGATACTTCTCATCATGAGTGCAGAAACCGCGTCGAGTCTCTGTAAAATCACAGTCTAAAGTTGAGGTGGTGTACACCATTTGAACCAGAAATTATAAAGTTCACCTGGTCTAGGCGATTTCCTATTGGGATATTACTTTGATATTTTCCTGCGTAGTCATGCAGGTACCTTTTTTGACATGTTTCGAGGGCCATTTTCAATGGTTATTTTATTTTGATTATACGTCCACAGTCTTGTGTTATTGATTATTCTTCTGCATTTGGTTTTGGAGAGAAATATAGGCCAATTGTGTTTTGGTTAGTTTGAGTCGTTCTTGCCCCTGTTGATCTCTTTATGTTGTGACGTTGTCTTCTCAATAAATTGTTGTCCTTTTACATCTAGAATATCTAGAATAGTTGTTGGAGTTCTACAAATGTTGCAGTCATTATTTGATTTAGACGGCGTAAATAGTTAATATTTTCAGTTACAAATTAGCACAACTGTAAGATAAGCCCTACAAGTGCTACAATTGTAAGAATATATTTAATATTTTCATTTTTTTCGTAACAGAACTTGACTTGAATTGAACGAAATACAATTTTAAAAACCTCTTTCGCTATATTGGAGCAAGGTGGCAAAAAAAAGAACAGTTTGATGATATGGACTGATTCCGCTAGTAGTCCATGCTTCGCATTTAAAGCTAGCGAAATATTTTGCTTTGTCAGAATTTCAGAGATTGCACCGAAACGAATGTTTCTTGTCCATAACATACAGGACAAGTACAAGACAGCAAGTCTGGGAGGAAGGCAGTAAGAATATTACATCCGCTGTACATTTACAAAATTATTTAATTTCCACGTTTTTAGAAATCTATATTGTAGACTGGTTTATGCTACGGTCCGCCAGGGAACAATTTCATTTTGTTAGAAACTAATTAGCAAAAGAAAACACAAAATTGATGCTTTGTTCTACTAGCCGTACCAATAACATTATGTTCACTGATGTATAAAAATGAATTTCCTAGAACCTGGATTGGAGGGCGTTTTCTTTCCCAGAACCTTAATTACGCCACGGCTCCAGTCTTGTCTTTTCAATGATCGGAAGACACTCGGAACTGGAAAACCATTATGAATAATAAACGTACTTTTCGAAGCGCGAGTTGGAACGTAAGAAAACTCGCGACATTTCCGGGGTTAGAAACTTTTGATTAGACGCCGGTAACAAACCTAAGTCAATTTTGAATGTTTCGGATTGAGTGTTTCGTACTCATTTGAATTAAATAAATATTCATGGTGCGATAAGGATGTTGCTTTTGGGAATACAAACGATGAGTGGATTACAACTGCGGAAGAAATATAAAGAGGGTATTTACTGATTTATCTTTTCCGCTTTATTTATTTAGTATTTGCATTACAATGCTCTGGTGTAGCTTGTTGTTTCAAATATGTTTAAATAAATAAATAAATAAAAACGCTTTTATTTGTCACTCGTCGACAGCTGAGCTATTCACTTAACCGAGCATGTAAAAAACCCATAAACTAAATTACAATAAAGCAAATTTTACAACAAATATCATAAATAAATAAGTAAAAGAGCTAACAATAACAATAGATTAACAATAACAGAAACTTGGCAAAAAGGTAATAATGTTGAAATATGCAAAAATTAAAATTAAAATAATAGAACAATAATTAAAGCAATAAATTGATAAGGTTAATCTACATTTAACAAAAGTACAAAAATATAACTTTTATAATTTCCATTAATTAAAATTGTTTTCAAAAGACGGGCTGGATGAGATACCCTTTAATTTGAACCTCAAAATCATCGACACTCGCAGACAGCCAGGACCAAAATATCAAGCTCTAACTGGTTTAATAAAATCTTTACTTCATTCAAACTTGGCAATAAAGACCTAACGCTAATGTGACCAAGCTCTAAGTTAGCTTTTTACTTCGTAGGCATTTTTTAAATATTCCTAAGGTACTTTTTTATGTCAATCAAATAAAATATATAAAAAAATCGAAATATGACTCAATAAATTATAAAATTATAATTATTTCAAAATCTTGAAAAATTATTTTTCCCTCTTTATTATGAGACACGAAACCAAGTAGAAAAATGGAAAGTATCTATCTTTCTAAGATGCAGTGGATGATGATCACACAAAGGAAAAACAGTGGATTTGTTGTGGGTTTCATTTGCATCTCTTTTTTGACTAAAAACAGGAAAAAACATTCCTTATAACATTTATGGATGCCTCCAGAACTAGTCAAAATTTTATAACTTAATATAAAATCCAATTTTATTTTCTAATTTGTGTCCCACACCTCTCCGTTTTTGAGATTTTTATGTTGCACAGTGTGTCCAATTTTTGATGGTTTTACGATTAGTTTTTCATGATAGGAAAGGCAGCACAACAGAAATGTCTGATTTTTAGATGATTTTGTAAATTTGGCATTTTTGGACACAATTTTGTTGTATAAACTAAGCTTGTGTTTTTTTAAATGAACTCTATTTTATTAACTGTATTAGGCTGTATATGAGTTTTTGAAAGGTGTGTAACACATGGGAAGCATTTTCAAATACAAAGCAAATATATTTAAATTGTTAGTTAATTAATTCTTTTTTTTTTCTTTTAGTAGGCCACGCAAAACACAGATTTTTTTAATATAAATTATTTATTATAAATTTCTTATAATTTTCATATTTCAGCCAACAGTGAACCACAGCATAAGGAAGAGGAGGCAGGCGTAAAAAAATAAATTAAAGCTATATGCTTTATATTAGAAGCACCTCTTAT